ATGATTTTAAATGATGTTATTTCCTACAATTAGAAAATATGTTGATATAATATACTGACATAAATTGACTAGAATGGATTTTGATATAGAAGTAGAAAGAGTCTTGTGGCATAGGAGTTACTTTCGAGATATAATTAACTCTATGCATGGTTTTCAAAAGATAAGACGAGAGACTGGAAAGTTCATAAATCTTGGTATTGACGTTAAGAGTCCATGTTAGTATTGATCATATGAGTTGGCCTTATGGACGATGGAGTATATATGTTGATGTTGTTGGTCACAATAGATGAAGAAATTAGTGAGCATTGATGTAGTATGGTTATAGTAGTCATAGTTGTAGTTAGATGACAGTGGCCAGGAGGTCGTAGTTGGGTGACTATCGTTGGGAGATCATAGTCCAACAATGACAATATGAAGATCGTGGTCGAGAAACAGTGGTTGAATGATTGTAGTCGAATAACAGTAGTCAGAAACCATAGTTGAGTAATAATGATCAGAGAATTATTGTTTGATAACAATTATCGGAGAATTGTAGTCAGTGATGGTGGTTGAACAATCATAGTTAGATAATAGTGGTTGAAAGGCTATAGTCGGGTGATAATAATTGGGACATCAAAATTGGACGATGATAATCTGAGAACTATAATTGCGGTAGTGGTCGGAGGATGGTACTTAGACAATAGTGGTTAGATGACGACAATTGAGGGACGATGATTTGAGGATTGAAGTCAATGATCAGAGGATAAAAGTCGAAAATCAGAGTATCAAAGTCAATGATCTAATGGTGGTGGTCTAAAATAGTGGTCTGATGACGATGGTCCCGATAAATATGGTAAGACAGTGATAGTTCGTTGGTGGTGGTTCGTCACTAGTGATTTGACTATGGCAGTCTGATGGTAAGAATCCTTTCAACCCCTTAGCTCTCTTTAAGCACAAGCTAAGAGCCACCAATATATAGAGAGTGAGATATATTCATAATATTTTAGAGTAACATGTTCCATAAATATAGCCAATATTTTTAGAGCCCTTCAAATGACATATATTTATTCCATTAATCTATAAAATTCTTTTGGTATTTAAGTATCTTATGATGTTAGAATTAAATATTCTTGAGCTGGTTAGATTCGTCTTATCAAGATGCATGATTTACTTATAACATGAGTAATTTAGAGATTGATCGCTCTTTTGACAAATATCAAATATCATAAATCTTTAATTGTATTTCAAATGCTTGATATAAATTTGCTCGGACACCAATCGGATCACTCTGTGTCGATGGTTTCATCTCATTAAGACATTTAGTTGGATTGTAAGTTTGTTTAAATCAAAGTTCATATAAATTAGAAATTCATTTAAAAATTTTTTAATTCAAATATACATCTAATTCATGCCTAATCAAGTTGATTTTTGATAATGCATTAATTTAAATCATTAACATCAAATATATAATTATTTAGAGTCAACTAAAGCTCAATTAAGATTCAAACTCAATATAAAAAATAATAAATAAATTTGAATAAGATTTTAAAATTAAATTAAAAACATGTTTGAGCTTAGCTCAAAATTGATAATAAAATAAATGAACGAATTTGATGATGATAGCACTCCTCTTAACTCGATTCATTTATAGCCCTAGCCCTCATATTCTTCTATAATTTCTTTTATAAATTATATATGTCATATATTCAAATGGGCCTAAAAGCCCAGTCCATTATAAAATCAAAGTTCACCGCCAAAATATTTAAATTCATATGAACAATAAAGATGATGCCCTCTCTTTTGAGAAGGCAACAAGATTTTTTTGCCTTGGGTCGATTTGACCAGCTCATTATGGCCTGCCAACCCAAGCCCACTAGTAGTGGTCTAAAAGTGGCCCAGCCAACTAGTAGTGGTCCAAAAGTGGCCCAATAGTGACAACCACGGATGAGGATCTCCTATTAGTGAATAAGATATAATTTCTAAGCTATTAACGTCATAAATTCAAAGAAGTTGACGGATTAATTTTTTAACAGTTTTGAATAATAATAATAAAAAAAACTATGGATGAAATTTATAGTCATTTCGTAACAAATATTTATTTACTAAAATGAAATAATATGCTAGAAAGGGCTCACTAAATAAATTTTATTAGAGTTCATATGATTTTGAGAAAGTTCATATCTAGTTGAATGAACCGCACAATAATAAATACTTGCATGGTATGATCAAATATTATGAAAGGAGAGTTCATATAGAGAGAGCTTCAGTGTGCACGTAGAATAAGCTAGGGGTGTAAGTGAGCCGAGCTGGCTTGCGAGCTCAATTAGTTTATGGGCTCGTAAGTCGAGCTTATCGAGCTCAAGCAAAAACTCTAGCTCCTTTAGTAAATGAGCTCGAATCAAGCCTGATGAGACTCGGCTCGTGAGCTCGCGAGCCGGCTCGAACTCTTTTACAGTGCGATGAGTTCGAGTTCGAGCTTGAGGTCGAGCCAACTTTCCGACTGACGAGCGGAGCTCGATAAAACCACTATTCGACTCGACTCGTCTACACTCCTACCCAAGGCTGTCAACGAAGATGATTGCTCCTTTAGCATATATGAAGCCCAATATGCTCATCATCATAAACAAGCTTATGCCGCTAATCATTCCTGAAAACATTATAATAATACTCAAAAGAACATAAAGCCTTCATCATCTTTACTAATTCTACAGCAATCTCATTGCAAGCACTATCAGTTATCTTTCCAATCCATTAACTTATTGAAAATTTTAGCACGGTTGGCATTAAAGCTGCTTGCAGGGATTAGAGAAACCAGAAAGTGGACCACTACAAATTTAGGATTTATTTATGAGGACAACAACTTTTCATAAAGGTGGATAGAAATGGTGAAAAAAGATTTTTATTTTTATTTTTTTTTTTATTTTAAGGTTGGTGTAGAAAATAGCTTCCTAGCACACAAATTTGTAGCAAGAAAATGAAAAAAATTATAATAAAATAAAAATTGTAATTATGATTTGAAAAATAAAAAAGCTATCCCAAACGACCACTTTCTTACTGCTTCTTAACAACTTTCTAGTAAACAAATTTAAAAAATTATTTTAAGAAACAGTAAGAAAGTCATCCCAAAGAAAGCCTTAGACTTCGTTTGGGATGACTTTCTTTCTTCTTCTTAAAACAACTTTTTAGTACTTATATACATAAGTAAAAAAAAATTAAACGAGTCATTTTTTGGTCAAAATTGAGTTCGCTGATCAGCACAAACCTAACTTATTTAATAAACAATTCGGAAAGCTCAATCCCAACCTGAACCCCACCTATTTATCAAACGAATTAAGACGAATCTGAGTTTTTCAGGTCGGGTCCTTTATTGACACTCTGAGGCTTAACATCAGACGAACCCCATAAATATTTTGTGTTACCTTTTTTATGGCATTTCATCTTTTTGTAACTAGTTTTCCTAAATTGAAATTTCAAAGCATAAATTTAAGCACATTCTTCTTAATAAATATGTATTATTTTCATCGATAATTCCATTTTCATTTCCTCTCTTTCAATTCCCTGAAATCAAATAATCTCATTCTGCAGTGGAGGTAACAGTTAACCAAAGCACAAAAAGTAGTGAAAGAGACAAGTCTTAAGCTAACATGCTCAGCAGAAATGGCGGATAATGGAGGTTTTATGGAGATGGAGAAAAGCTTTGCATAATTATATTCTTTCTGAATGGTTTACTTTTCTCTTCAGAGTTGGGACTAATCCATCGCACAGTTCCCATCATATCAGTGGGACTTCCAACTTTCAAGCTCTGCAGTTTTTTGTTTGGCTTCTCTTCACATGCTTAGCATTATTGGATCCATGCCTTAACATCTTTATAGATGATTTTGTTGCCTGGGTTTATTGCTCTATGCATCCCGAAAACTCGGCTTTTTTCTTTTTTTTTTTTGGGAAAATTTGGGGCGAGGCCCGTATATTGAATATATCAAAATTACAGAATTACAAATACAGAAAATGAGGCTAGAAAACTAGCCAAAACTATACCCAATAACCCCAATGAAAGAACCACAAAAAGGAAAACGCAAGCAAAAGAAATTTAAAAACAAAAACCAGGACTCAGTTAGCCTGGAGACTGCCCAGAGACAAACTATCATCAAAGCCAGAAAGCTCATAAGTCCAGTGCCAAGAGAAAACAACGCAAAATTCTCCCCGGTTGCCAATGAAGAACAGCACCATAGTGGAGCGGGGTGCACGCAAAGCTGCCAAGCCAAACAAAATGCCACAGGTCATGAAAAGAACTCCAAAGGCCGTCCAAAGGGAGAGGCACAAGGGCAACTCCAGTCATCATCGTCCGATCACAAAAACCAATCCCAAAATATTCATGCATCCAAAAGCAGCACAAGTAATAGCCGTGAAACCATCTGCCAACCAAAAAGAGGGGGAAACCAACCACAAACGCACGGTTTGAACTGCAGCAAAACCAACCAGCAGAGATCCTATTCGCATGATTCAATTGATAGCAGCTATGTAAGTACCTCCTCCAACAAAACCACCGTCCAGCAATAAAATGATGCTTAGGGGAATAAATTCTCTCAAAAAAATCAATAATGAATCTCCAGCAAGCCCAACAGCCACCTAACCAACATCCAGCCTTCAAATAAACCTTCAACCTGTTTTTTACTTTTCTACCTGCAGCATTTTTTTTTGGATGTCTGCTTTTGATCTCTTGACCTTTGCTTACTGTAATTTTTCTTTTCATCATGATATGGGCTTATGACCCAATTTTTCCCAAAAAAAAAAAATTATTGGATTCTCTTTTCATTCATTTTTCTTTTTAATTCTCTCTCTATAGACCCCCACTCTGATGCAGAGCATTCGCGTATTCTCAAGCAACACAGATGAGTAGCTTTTAATTAATTATCCTTTGCTTAAGTAATATTAGTTTTATTAGCTGATACCTAGTTGGTTAGTGGACATGTGCTCCACTACATTTTGCTTTAGTTAGTTATTTTGGTTTGTCAGTACTTTCCATGTGTAGGGCTATTAGTGGTAAAGCCAAGAGTATAGAAATAGTGGTATGTGATCGGAAAGAAGGCATTGAAGAATATTATAGAAACGTTGCTACTGTTCCATTGCTTTGTGCAATTCTGTTTTCCTCTGTTTTTATCCTTTGCAGGTTCTCTCCGGTGATCGCCAGAATAGCTTCGACGGAGCATCGGCATCATATTGGTATCAGAGCAAGGATGGCAGAAGGGAGTAATCGGGTGGCTACCGATGGTGAACACAGCCTGGAAGAACTTTGGGCCGGACATACCAAACTGGTAAGGCGGACGGAGGAGATGGCGGCAGATATGCACCATTTCTTCGGTGAAATGCGTCGGGAGTTGAGATTGATCAATGCTCGTCTTGATAGGAACCGAGCCGCTCGAACCGCTGCACCGATCTTGGGGCAGGAAACGAGACGTGGGTTCATGGCAGAAGAAGAACATCAACGGAATGACCGGGCACCTGTAGTGACTGATTCAGATGAAGAAAATGACCATGTTCGGTCATTGGAACCGTCAGATTCAGAAGGCGAGATGATTCCGAATCATAGAAGGCATGGTAGAAGAGATCGGGCACAGGGGGATTTCCGAATTAAATTGGATATTCCGTTCTTCGATGGTAGACTGCATATAGAGGATTATCTTGACTGGGAAAGGTCCGTTGAATCTTTCTTTGAATACATGGATATTAGTCCGGATCGGCAGGTGAAGTACGTTGCCTGTAGATTAAAAGGGGGCGCTAGTGCGTGGTGGCAACAGGTGTTGCAGTCCCGTCGGCGAGATGGCAAGGGCGTCGTCCGGAGCTGGTTTCGCATGAAGCAATTGCTACGAGGACATTTTCTACCAACCGATTATGAGCAGATGTTGTACGTGCAGTATCAACATTATTCACAAGGAGGCAAATCGGTGAATGAATATACCGAAGAATTTTATCGGTTAAGTGCCCGGAATAATCTCAATGAATCTGAAAATCAACTGGTTGCAAGGTATGTTAGTGGCTTGAAGGATTTTATTCAGGATAAACTAGAGTTAAATTCAGTTTGGTCATTGTCCCAAGCTGTAAACTATGCTCTCAAAGTGGAATTACAATCCAAGAGACATCACTTCAATCGGCAGAACAGGAGGAGTGGGGAATCAGTTGCAGAAGTAAGTAAGAATCCTGCTCAACAGTTATCCACCAATTACAACAAGCCAGTTGTTGTGCCTTCTACCGCTGGGCCACCTCCAACTCCTGTTCCGAAAATAATAGAGCCAAGAGGCAACTGGAAGGGTAAAGCTCCAGTGAAAGACAACCCGTATGCTAAGCCTGGCACGTTAAAATGTTTCCGGTGTTTTCAACCAGGTCACAAATCTAATGAGTGCCCTACTCGGGCGCATTTGCAATTAATAGAAGGGGAAAATGATGAGGAAGAAGAAGATGATTACGAAACAGTTGAAGAACGGCCTGAAGATGTGGTTGGGGACGAGGGTGAACCTGTTCTGTGTGTGCTGCAACTACTGCTTCTAGCCCCTCGCCGTCCCGCCAAAACGCAACGAAATGCCCTTTTCAAAACAAAATGTACCATTTCAGGTAAAGTTTGCGAAGTATTGATAGATACGGGTTGCACGGAAAATGTCATTTCCAGAGCAGTGGTGCAATCGTTACAGTTAAAAACGACCAAAAGTCCTAACCCATATAAAATCAGTTGGGTTAAAAGGGGAATTGAAATGGCGGTGACGGACATGTGCAAGGTCGTTTTCTCCATCGGCAAGCATTATGCGAGCGAAGTTCTTTGCGATGTAGTAGACATGGATGTATGTCATTTGATTCTTGGTAGACCTTGGCAGTATGATGTTGGGGCCATTTTTGATGGGCGGGCTAATACATATTCTTTTGATTGGAAGGGCAAACGGTTAAGGTTGTTGCCCCGGAATCCGGAACAGGAAAATTCTAATGGCCATGCTAAGGCGTCACTAGTGGCTGTCAGTGGAAAAGCTTTATTAAATGTTTGGAAAGAATCTTCACACCTGTTGGCATTACTCATCAAGGAACAAAACCACCCGCTGGAAGACAGGCCCATTCCTGATGGTGTTAAAGTGCTGTTAGAACAATTTGCTGAGATTGCACCACCGGAGTTGCCCAGTGGATTACCGCCAATAAGGTCCATTCAGCACCAGATAGATCTTGTCCCTGGAGCCAACTTGCCAAATTTGCCTCATTACAAAATGAGTCCGAATGAGCATAAAATTTTACAGCAAATTGTGGATGAAATGTTGGACAAACAGCTTATTCAAACAAGTCTTAGTCCGTGTGCCGTCCCAGCTCTGTTGGTGCCCAAGAAGGACGGTAGCTGGAGGATGTGTATGGATAGCCGATCCATCAACAAGATTACCGTTAAATTCAGGTTTCCTATGCCGAGAATGGAGGATATGATCGACAAGCTGTCGGGAGCTCAAGTATTTTCCAAACTTGATTTGCGGAGTGGGTATCACCAAATTAGAGTTCGTCCAGGGGACGAATGGAAGACCGCTTTCAAAACACGTCAAGGCTTATATGAGTGGAAAGTAATGCCCTTTGGGTTGTGCAATGCCCCTGCCACTTTCATGCGACTAATGAACGATGTGCTGCGGCCGGTTCTAAACCGTTGTTGTGTCGTGTATTTCGACGACATACTAGTTTTCAGTTGTTCCATGGAAGAGCATATCCAACATTTAACCGCAATTTTTGAAATTCTGAAACAGAACAAGCTTTATCTCAATATTACCAAATGTGAATTTGCCTTGACACAGGTGGCTTTCCTTGGTTTTCTCATTTCCGCTTCTGGAGTAATGGTGGATCCCCGCAAAGTTACGGCCATCGTGGAATGGCCGACGCCGCGATCACTTTTTGACATCCACAGCTTCCACGGATTGGCGAACTTCTACCGCCGATTTATCCACAAATTCAGTATCATAATGGCTCCAATCACTGATGTATTGAAGCAGTCCCAGTTCTCGTGGACGGAAGAACAACAAAAGAGTTTCGAAGCCATTAAAGCGGCGTTATCTATTGCTCCGGTATTGGCATTGCCAGATTTTGACAAACCCTTCATGGTCGACACAGATGCATCGACGGTGGTAATTGGTGCAGTCTTATCTCAGGACAATAAGCCAGTGGAATTTTTCAGTGAAAAATTGAGTCCTTCGCGACAACGCTGGACAGTATATGAGCAGGAGTTGTATGCTGTAATCCGCGCATTAAAACAATGGGAGCATTATCTATTGCACCAAGATTTTGTTTTGAGCAGTGATCATAAAGCTTTACAGTACATTAATTCTCAAAAGAACATCAATAGGATGCATGCCCGGTGGATTATCTTTTTGCAGAAATTCACCTTTGTATTGAAACACAAAAACGGTATTCAAAACCGTGTGGCCGATGCACTGAGCCGAAGGGTGGCATTGCTGACAAAACTGGAGACTGAGTTCAATGGGTTAACGGGACTGCAGGAACTATATCCTAAAGACGAATTCTTCCGAAACTGGTGAAGCAAGTGTGTCAATCAAGAGCCGGTGCCTGAATACTCCATTCAACAAGGTTTTCTTTTCAAGAATAATTTGTTATGTGTACCGCAATCGTCCTGGAGACAGCGGTTGATTCAAGAAGCCCATGCTGGTGGAATGTCCGCTCACATTGGGAGGGATAACACCATTGCCCAGCTACAAGATCGATTTTTTTGGCCACATTTGAGGAGGGATGTAACTAAATTCATTCAAAGGTGTGCGGTTTGCCAAAGTTACAAGGGTGGTGGACAAAACACGGGATTATACTTACCGTTACCGATTCCGGAATCTATCTTGGAAGATCTAAGTCTGGATTTCATCTTGGGCCTTCCACGAACCAAACGCGGTAATGATTCTATCATGGTGGTAGTAGACCGTTTTTCTAAAATGGCGCATTTTATTGCCTGCAAAAAAACATTTGATGCCCTTAATGTCGCCAAGCTTTTCTTTAAAGAAGTGGTGCGCCTTCATGGTATTCCGAGGAGTCTCACGTCGGACAGGGACGTGAAATTTATAAGCCACTTTTGGCGGGAGTTATGGAAGAAATTGAATACCAAAATACAGCTGAGTTCTTCTTATCACCCGCAGACTGATGGTCAGACCGAAGTCGTTAACCGCACCCTTGGAAACTTACTTCGTTGCTTAGTGCAGGAGCACCCAACACTTTGGGATGAAGTTTTAGCACACGCCGAGTTTGCATTCAACTCGATGATTAACTGATCTACCGGTAAGTGCCCCTTTAATGTTGTTTATACTAAGATGCCGAACACTATTCTGGATATTGCAGTTCTACCAAAGATACAAAATAAGGCGGCGAATGCATTAGCCGATCAGTTCACACAACTACTGTCAGATGTAAGGCGGAACCTGCAAGAGTCTAGCCAAAGTTATAAGGCGGCAGCTGATGTGCACCGAAGGGAGAAAGTGTTTCAACCGGGAGATTTGGTTTTTGTGCGTCTACGCCGTGAACGTCTCCCTCCGGGAAATCATTCGAAGCTTACAAAGAAGAAATGGGGTCCTTTACCTATCAGCAAGAAAATTAACAACAACGCTTATGTTGTGGATTTACCGGAGGAATTTAATACCTCTCGCACATTCAATGTTGCAGATATCTACACTTATAATCCCCCTGATGACGGTGATGCCAGCTTCGAATCTATTGACACAGATTCTATTGACAGTGGGGGCGAATGATGCAGAGCATTCGCGTATTCTCAAGCAACACAGATGAGTAGATTTTAATTAATTATCCTTTGCTTAAGTAATATTAGTTTTATTAGCTGATACCTAGTTGGTTAGTGGACATGTGCTCCACTACATTTTGCTTTAGTTAGTTATTTTGGTTTGTCAGTACTTTCCATGTGTAGGGCTATTAGTGGTAAAGCCAAGAGTATATAAATAGTGGTATGTGATCGGAAAGAAGGCATTGAAGAATATTATAGAAACGTTGCTACTGTTCCATTGCTTTGTGCAATTCTGTTTTCCTCTATTTTTATCCTTTGCAGGTTCTCTCCGGTGATCGCCGGAATAGCTTCGACGGAGCATCGGCATCACACTCTTTTTTATTTTTTTCAAATTAAGTATAAAAAGTATTATTGTTGTATCTGTGTCTGACTTTGGGCTGAAAATAGGGAGAAATTTTTATGTGCAGAGTTTGGACGGAAAAGATCTGTTCGGACTGTGAGTGTACACACTGTGTACACAAATTGTACACAATTTGATTAAAATTGTGTACACACTGTTTATATACAATGTGTGCACTCATAATCCGAATAGATCTTTCTGTCCAAACTCAGCACGGAATATTTTCTCGAAAATAGGACATGATGTTTGTTATGTGCAAAGGGTTTTGATCACATAACCATGGTCAAGGTTTGGCTTGGGACCTCTTTTTTTTATTGTTGCAGTAAGCAGCTTAGTAGCACGAACATTTTTTTTAAAGTAGCGAATAAGCAATGACCAAATAGAAATTATGATTACGTTCTCAAAAGCAAAGCAATAAGAAAGCTGTCCAAAGGAAACCTAAGAATGTGTTTTCCTGCATGAAAGACTTTCTTCGTTAATTATCCTATTAATCATCTTTGAAAAGCACTTTTTTTTTTAATCTTTGAAAAGAACTTGAAATCCAAGGAACTGCAACTTGGCAATTAGGACTGAAAGAATAGGAGATGATGTAGCTATAAAAAAAACTGTTTGATTGTCATTGCTAGCTATGTGTACTTGATTGAGGATCTACAACTCTAAAGTAGATCTTCAATGAAATGATGAAAAAGTAGTTCATTTTTTTTTAATAATTGAATAAAAACACTGTTTGTTGGTCTAAAATATTCTAATGCATGATAAATAATTATATATATAATAGTACAAATTCAATAGCTTAGTAGAAAGCAACGTTCTTTTTCATAAAAATAATCTGATCAAGCATGAATTTTGACACAAATTTATAGTTCTCAAACACCAAGTATTCAAACCAACAACTTATAAGATCGATTCTGGGATCATTTGAAAAAAAAAAATCCATAAATTTATAGTTTTTTTTTTTTTTTTTGAGATTAACTAAACAATATCAAATATGTCTTGATACGAATCCGAAAGAAAAAAAAAAACTAATATAAGTTTAATTGCAAAATTCACAATATCAAACTTTATTGTGGTTATAGATATGAAAAATATTTTAAAATGAAAAAATATATAAATATCTAAAATTTTTGTATGAAGTAGAGCGCAACCAAGCTGTGCTAGGTAGCATTGCGATACTATTAATGAGAGTTCAATAACGACATAAAATGTCAATGAGGCCCTTGTGTCTCTATTTTACAGTAACTCTGAATTCGACATGCATCACAGAGGCACTAGGACGCTAACAATATTTTTATATATTTTCTATTCTATATATCCCCGCCATTCTGCTCCCACCGCCTCACTCTCTTGCTTGGCCGGGAAGAAACAATAGAAGGCGAGGGGGGATAAGGAAGAGGAAGAAGAGGTAAGGAGGAGAGAGAAATCCCATTTCTAATCATTTCATCCGATGTTCCTTTAACAGAAAATATTCTAATATTGTAAATAACTATCATCTTACTTCTATTTTGATATTTTCAATTTCTACAAGCTAAATCTGTTAAAAATATATTATCTCTTGATTTCATAAACTTTCAATGTATAACTTTATATTTTATAAATTTGATCATTTGAACGATTTGATATAATTTTATTGCATTTTCACTTGTTAAATATATGTATAAAAATCTTTGGATAAAATAAGCAGAGAAAATGCGTACTGAAAATGGGCTGAAAGTGATGTACTGTGATTGACATGATAATATTAAAATGTGAAATGAGATGAATAATTGAAGAGATGTACTAAAATGATACTGATTGATATGATAGACTAATGTACTGACTGATATCAAATCAACGATAAGATTACAGAGATGATTGTACTGATACCTCAACGATAAGATTACAAATAGTACTAGTGGTATATGATACATGATAAGAGTACTGCCATTATTGATATATTGCAGATTGTACTACCAATATTGATATATATGATAAGTGTATTGTCAATATTAATATATTACATTTATTACTGTAAGTTTTGATATCTATTACAGGTATCTGAATACTGATACGATTGACTTATTGATAAGACAAAGCAAATGCTACGATTGAGATCGATTGAATAAAACTAACTAGGAGTCATAAAGGAAGAGCAAGATTAAGATCAAGATACCCTCATCTGAATATCTAATAGAATACTAATTATTACTTATCACTAATTTTTGACATTGAATACTGAAAATGATATTGTCACTAATGTATAACCGATAGATTGGTGAGAATGATAGAATGATATGACTGAATAAATTGATTGTATGATAAAGAAAGAAAGATTGATTGATACATGAGATTGGTACAAATATCATATATTAATTTATAGATTTTCTTATATGATTTACATCATTTTGTTTCTCTTTTCATTGCATTGATTCAATTATAAAATATTGGTTACTTGTCAAGCAATATGCTCATTAAGTGATTTTATATATTTTCGGTAAAGGTAAGGTCCTTGCAATATCAGAAGCCCGATAGCAAGCTTAGTTTTCTTCCTATAGTTCATTTTATAGTCATCGATGTATTTAAACATGATGGTAAACTAGTATTTTGTATCATAATATATTATATAGGATATTTTGGTTTTAATAATTTCTACCATATTCGATGAATATAAATGCAAACATGTTTCTTTCCGGTCATGTACTCAAACCATGCATCTAGGTGGGAAGAATACTAATAGTCCAACATTGAACATTTTTTTATATCAATAAGACACTATGCTGTCTATAAAATAAAATATGATAAAGGGAAGAATTGATTATCTGATTATATTTTATGATTTCTTAAGGAAATAACTAAAATAACCTCATTAGAAATATATAAATATGCTCTTATTTTACATAGCATGGGCGATGTAGGTCAAATTGAAGCCCCAACAAAAATTTGAAAAGTGAGAATACAGAGCTCTAGTTGCCAACACCAATGCTCATTATTACAACAAAAGGTCTGTACCTACGCAAACTATGAGGTGAACAACTAAGCAAAACACAAACTATTGCCAGAAGATAATATTTAGGGGTGTCAAAATAGATTTTCGATTTGGATTTGAGTCAGTTTCGAAATTGACCCTCCATTATTTTATACGATCTAAACCAAACCCATTTTTGAAAATTAATAGGTCAGAAAGTGGGACCCAAACTCGATCCTGGTCAACCTGACATGACTCTCCACCCCGGGTTTGAAGGATTTCAAGATTTTGGAGTAGGTCTCACTTGATGAGATGTTTTCGATCGACCGGGTGATGTCCATTAGGAAGGTAAGAGAGATCAGCAAGGGAAAATGCATCGCCTACTATAAACCTTCTCTCTCCAAGTCACTGCTCGTAAACATTGAGAACCTTCACAAGCTTCCTTTCATTTGCCTCGATC